TTAAAAATACCGTGATTCATCTACAATCGAACTACATTTTGCGATTTTTGGGAAGGGTAACAGTCTTTCTCTTGGTGCGTTTCTTCCGCAAATTCAATTGAGACAGAAAAAACGCGTTGGTGAACTATTTACCCACAATCAAATAGCGAAAGATTTAAGGTTCAGTTGAAACGACCAAACGATGCCACACATATTTTTGGCCTTCTGTGAGATGGTCTTAATCGCATTCTTTTGTTTAGGAGACCTGAAAAAAGTCCCTATCATTGATTCACTGCCTCGCCCCAATAATGGAAACGCAGGATGCAAAGAATCCGAAATTTGTTCGAGTAATTCATAAGACAAATCAACTTAGAAGGTAATACTTCTCTATCGACTGTGCAGATCGAGTTGTGATTATCTCTGAAATCCTTAATGGAGAATGCCGACTCCCTAATTCCGCAATGGATAAACTCGACATGTCACAATAACTTTCACCCAAAGTTTGACCCACACCACTATCCGTTCTATAAATGCCGATTCCCTGCTTCGACCTTTCATCCAGCCCTTCTCGCTCTCCTCCTCTCCTGTCGCTCAGTTTGTAATTATCTCCTTCTCCTGCTCTTTGCAACAAGAATCGTTTATACGGTTTCGTACTTTAAATCATCGGAGTTGATCTGTCGAAGTTATGGCGGGTGGCGGTTTCGTCGATTCCAATGGCGATGACAAAGATTATCCGGGGAAGCTTACCATGTTCGTCTTCTTCACGTGCGTGGTCGCCGCCACCGGAGGCCTAATCTTTGGCTATGACATTGGGATTTCCAATTAGTATCTTGATTAATCCTTTCATTCACTCCCCCTGGATTCTGATTTCCACCAATATTTTAAGGGCTTCAATTGTTCCGCAGATGTTATGTCACGACCCGATCCGATCCGGGACGGATCCCGCTCGCACCAGGTCGCGACACGGAACAAACATACTGACTTACTGACCAGGATCTGGTTATGGAATTTGATTCGGAACTGAATCTTCCAAATTATTCAACTCAAACAGACACAGAGCTACTATGAATCATTAAACGCAGCGGAACTAAACATCTATATTTTCTTTTCCTTAAAACAATCATCTACAAATACAGTACATGGCTTTTAACCAGAAAGAAAGACAGAACAGAAAAGCCATGACTGTACAAAAATCAAAAGTACAAAACAATACCTATACTGATCAGACTCTGAAATCTATTCCTGGACTTCCTTCCCTTTCCCAGAACCTGAAAACCACCAGAAAACAAGAGTGAGCTCAACAGCTCAGCAAAGCAACAAACCTCCAATCAAAATTCTCAGAATCCAAAATCAAACACATCAGACAGAAATCCGTACAGAAATCAGAACAGAATCGGGAAAATATCAAATCGGACAGATCAGAACGAAACAAATCAAATCAGAACAGATACGGACAGATCAAATCAAACAAAACTGAACTGAAACAGAAGTCGTATCAAATCAGAAACAAAACAGATCAAACATATCAGCAACAGAATCAGAATCGTACCGAAATCAGAAATTCAGATCATTTGTTAGAATTGTACAGAAATCATATCATACAGATCAGATCAATTCATATCGTACAGAAATCAGAATCAGATTTGCTTACAGAACAGGTACGAAAATCAGAATCAGATCAAATCAGATATCATATATTATTTAATTCATAACTAAATGCCCTGACACTGACGGAATCTCGACGGATTCCGGCACCTTATGCCTCCCTTTGTGCTCACGCCACCAGAACAGATGTGCTATAGCACCAGAACAGAATTCATCGGATCCGGAACAGAATATATGTTAAATTTTAGATTTGAGCTCATTTCAGATTTCTCAAACACTAACTGAATCTCATAGGATCCATGCCCCTTATAACTCCCTTTTTATAGCATATACATATAGTATATCAATTCAGAAAAAATCCGGACAAATCAGAAATCAGACAAAAATCGGGTAGCACAACGGCAGTATACGAAATTTACACAATTTTCCTGAAAATCACAAAATACCAAATTTGCACAGAATATAGATAATAACATTTCAGAACATTTATTCTACTGCACAGAAAATTTTCAATTACACAGAAAAATCCAGTCGACTAAAAACATCGTCGAATCAAAAATATCCGGACAAAAATCTTCAGAAAATAACCAAAAAGTGCACACTCGGCACGTCAACAATATACAGAAAGTTACACGGTAAAAACTGAACCAATCAAAAGATACGGACGAAAATCACTAACGGAAATAAAATCCGAACAGAAAATACCGCCAAACACAACAGTTCTGAAAATTGAGAAAGGCGGAATGTGCCTTACCTTGCGTACAGCAATTTCCTGAACAGTCTCGTCGGACGAAAACGGCTCCGCGTCGTCCGAAAATCAACTTTTTCGAAAGATTCCTCGACTTTCTCTCTCCTCAAAAAGATATTTTCGTTTTTATGATTTTCTCTCTCTTCAAAACGATTGATTTTAGCTTTATAAGACTCAGATCGGCGGCCGTCAGATCGTCCAGGGACGATCAGACCAATTTTGATCGTCCTGGACGGTTTCTAGAACTATTTTCCGGCCGATATTTTGAACAGTGCCAATCGGCCTTGCCGAAGCCTCGATCGGCCTGGACGATGCCTACAGAAAAACACCTGGAACAAATCTGGGCAAATTCTGGAGCAAATTCTGAACGATCCTGGAGCAGATTTTGATATTTCATGTTAAACCTTTTCTTAATACTATTCCAAAATCTTATTGATTTCATATCGAAGGAGGGGTGACGGCGATGGATACTTTCCTATTGAGGTTCTTCCCGACGGTTTACCACCAGGAAAAGGCGGACCATAGCACCAATCAGTACTGCAAGTTTGACTCGCAACTTTTGACGACGTTCACGTCGTCACTATACCTGACGGTATTGATCGCGTCCTTCTTTGCTTCGACGGTGACGCATGTGCTCGGCCGCAAGTGGTCGATGTTAGGCAGCGGCATCACTTTTCTCGTCGGCGTGGCCCTTAATGGATTTGCTAAAGACCTTGCGATGCTCATAGCCGGCCGCATCCTCCATGGCAATGGTGTCGGTTTTGCTAATCAGGTGAACATCATCGTTAAATTAGTTTTCCGCAACCGCTTCTGCATTTGATTCTCACCTCGTCGTTTATTTTGTGATCAGATTCGAATATTTGTCTTTTTTGTTTTGATATGCGCTTTCTGTTTCCCATAATTGATTTTGATTTCCTATTTTTTAATTGGCGATGTCATTTTGTCCGTTCGAAAAATCGTTAGCAAAATATTTTTTTTCCTTATATTTAACAATTTTCAAATTTATTAGACTGTTTTATTATTATTTATTACTACCGTGATGTAATATAAAAAAGTACATATTAAATTCAAATATTATTTTATTATTAATAGTGAAAGATTTTCTTTTCAAAGTGAAGGAATAAAGCTGAATAAAAAAATTACCATAAAGTTTAAAATAACACCAATATTTTGTTGTCATCTTGTTCTGTTAAGAAAAAGTTGGGTAAGAATATAGAATTAAAATTTAAATCATAATTATTTAAACCAAAATTTTAAATTTTAAAATTAATCATAATTAAACTTTAATTAACATTTCTGAAAAAAAATTCTGCAATTATTACTATAAAAGCTCTTTTATAGTTAAATAATAGAACATAGCCATGCTTTCCGTAGATCTAAAATTTATTTTCTTAATTAGTAAAGAACAATATTGTCTAATTGGACTGCCTTGAATTGGGGAGTGATATAAAAATAATAAAAATATAAAGTTTTAACATTATTAATGTGCCAAATAAGACGAAATTTTCAATACATTTCATTAGCAATTTAGTCCTTAATTAGTTGCGCCCTTAATGTTTTGGATAAGTCCTATTTTCGTCATTAAAATTTGTTGCAGTAAATTGATTGTATTTGTTGGAATTTGAGCAACGCCCTGATGGTTGCTGTATTTCACGCAAACCACTTTATTATTTTGAGATCAGGTACAAAAGTAAATTAAAAAATAAATTATTTGATCAGAATGCCTTAATTTAAATTTACTCAGCCTAAATAAAACTAAATTTTATTATTACAGTTATCTCAAAAAATATTTAATGATTATAATTTTATTTAAATTTAAGTTAGGATATCCGAAATTTGTTCAACTAATTAATAGGACAAATAACCTTATAAGGCAATAATTCTCTATCGAGGTGCACAACCAGAATTCAGACACCCTAATTTTGCAATGGATAAACTCGACATGTCACAATAACTGTCACCCAAAGTTTGACCCACACCACTATCCGTTCTATAAATACCGATTCCCTGCTTCGACATTTCATCCAGCCCTTCTCGCTCTCCTCCTCTCCTCCTCTCCTCCTCTCCTATTGCTCTGTTTGTAATTTTCTCCTTCTCCTGCTCTCTGCAACAAGAATCGTTTATACGGTTTCATTTTTTAAATCACCGGAGTTTATTTGTCGAAGTTATGGCGGGCGGCGGTTTCGGCGATTCCAATGGCGATGGGAAGGATTATCCGGGAAAGCTTACAATGTTCGTCTTCTTCACGTGTGTGGTCGCCGCCACCGGAGGCCTAATCTTCGGCTATGACATTGGGATTTCCGGTTAGTATCTTGATTAATCCTTTCATTCACTCCCCCCTGCATTCCGATTTCCTTTAATATTTTCAGGGCTTTAATCGATCACCATATGAATCAATTGATCCGCCTATGTTAAACCTTTTCTTAATATTATTCTAAAATCTATTTGATTTCATCTCCAAGGAGGGGTGACGGCGATGGATACTTTTCTATCGAGATTCTTCCCGACGGTTTACCACCAGGAGAAGGCGGACCACAGCACCAATCAGTACTGCAAGTTCGACTCGCAGCTTTTGACGACGTTCACGTCGTCGCTATACCTGGCGGCGTTGATCGCATCCTTCTTTGCTTCGACGGTGACGCGTGTGCTCGGCCGCAAGTGGTCGATGTTAGGCGGCGGCATCACTTTTCTCGTCGGCGCGGCCCTAAACGGCTTTGCTAAAGACCTTGCAATGCTCATAGCCGGCCGCATCCTCCTCGGCATTGGTGTCGGTTTTGCTAATCAGGTGAACATCATCCTTAAATTAGTTTTCCACAACCGCTTCTGCATTTTATTTTCACCTCGTCGATTATTTTGTGATCAGATTCGAATCTTTGGATTTATTGTTTTGATATATGCTTTCTGTTTTCCGAAATTGATTTTGATTTCCTAGTTTTTAGTTGGCGATACCACTTTGTCCGTTCGAAAAATCGTTAGCTTCAAATATATATATATATATATATATATAATACTTTATTTTTCTTAATTTTAACAATTTTCAAATTTATTATTATTTATTTCTACCGTGATATAATATAAAAACGTACATATTAAATTCAGAGCTTCAAAAATAATTTTTAATATTTTTGTAAACTATGCCATGTCTTTTTGAAAAAATTATTCTGTATAGAGATCGGACGTAAAACGGTAAAACGCACTGTTAAATATCTTCAATTTTATTATGTGAGATTCATTCTACTTTTTCTAAATACTGCACTGTTTTAAATTCATATTATTTATATATATGATCATTTGCAAAATATTATTTTATCATAAATAGTGAAAGATTTTCTTTTCAATGTGAAGGAATTAAGCTGAATAAAAAAAATACCATAAAGTTTAAAATAAGACCAATATTATGTTGTCATCTTGTTTTGTAAAGAAAAAGTTGGGTAAGAATATCGAATTAAAATTTAGATGTTTTTTATATATCATAATTATTTAAACCAAAATTTAAAATTTAAAAATTAATCAATCTTAAACTTTAATTAGCATTTCTGAAAAAAAATTCTGCAATTGTTACTATAAAAGCTCTTTTATAGTTAAATAATAGTACAAAGCCGATTCTTTCCGTAGATCTAAAATTTATTTTCTTAATTAGTAAAGAACAATATTGTCTAATTGGACTGCCTTGAATTGGGGAGTGATATAAACATAATTAAAATATAAATTTTAACATTATTAATGAGACGAAATTTTCAATACAATTCAGTCCTAAATTTGTTGTGCCCTTAATGTTTTGGATAAGTCCTATTTTCGTCATTAAAATTTGTTGCAGTAAATTAATTGTATTTGTTGGAATTTGAACAATGACCTGATGGTTGATGTATTTCATGCAAACCACTTTATTATTTTGAGATCAGGTACAAAAGTAAATTAATAAATAAATTATTTTTTCAGAATGCCTTAATTTATATTTACTCAGACTAAATTTTATTATTACACTTATCTAAAAAATATTTAATAATTGTAATTTTAATTAAATTTAAGTAAAGATATCAATATCAAATTAAAAATATTTTTTTTGTAAAATCCTATGAATATAAAACTTTTATATTATTTCTATAAATATCTATTTATCGTATTTAATAAAGATATAATACTTATAATCAATATTTATTGGGCTAGATATTTTAAAATGACGGTAGTTATTCTAATTTCCTTTCTCATCTTTTTTCTATTTATGTTCAACTATACCTGTAACATATATTGTTCATTGTAAAATATGTGCTGATTTAGTTGCCCGTAGCTGGGTTTAAAATATGTTGTCGAACATTATTTTTTGTTTTACCACTTAGATAAAAAATCATGCAGCCTTTTAGGCAAATCAAATCAAATAACACTAATTGTAGGGGTGTCAACAAATTAGTTAGGTTTGAACTTCATTTTTCAACCAATTTGAAAAATCGGATTGGGTCAGGGTCAACCCGATAACCTTAATTTGACCTAATATTGACCTATTAACCCTCTTTAGTCACACAGCGCACCCGTGTTGACGTGTTGTTACCCGCTCCTCTCAATCCCTCCAGCCTCCAGGCCGGCCTCGTCGCACTCGCTCCTCCACAAACAAAGCTCACAAGCACCCACACCCGTAGACCGCAACACCTTCACGCGGTTTTCTAGGAGAACAAGACCAACCTCACTCATTCACTCAGTCGCGCACCGCTCGCCCCCTTGCACCCTCGCACTCAACCTCTAGCACTAGCACACTCGACACTTGCATGATACTGCAAGGGCTAACTCCTCTCACATCCTTCACAATTATATATTTGAATGCAACATAAAATATGGGACTTTTTAATGTAGGATTAATTGTTTCTTATACTTGTAATTAAAACATAATGTAAATCTAATTTAAATCACTCAACAAAGATATGAAGAGGAGACAGTGGATCTATTCCCATAGAAAGAAGACAAAAAAGAATATGCTTCTTTGACCTTATAACGGCTAGGACAGAGAAGGTATATTCTTATGTTATTAAAGGTCATTTAGTCAAATTTTCTTATGAGCAAATACTAAGTAAAAACAACAGATAAGAACAATTTGTTGCATTTTATTGATTAATTGTTCGAAGTCCTTCAGAGATAAAATTTAGGAGTTCTAGAATTCTTATACATAAATTGTATGTAAGTTTTTCTTTATACATAAATTGTTTTATTTACATTATGAATAAATTGAAGCTCTGACGGGAATGCCCTTGTTTTGGTTTGAATTTTACAGTCAGTTCCGGTGTACCTATCCGAAATGGCGCCAGCAAAATACCGAGGAACGCTTAACATCGGCTTCCAGCTTATGATCACCATCGGTATTCTAGCTGCAAACCTCATCAACTACGGAACCTCAAAACTGAAGGGGAGCATAGGCTGGCGTGTGAGCCTAGGCCTCGCCGCCGTCCCGGCAGCCATCATCGCCCTCGGCTCCCTCTTCCTCCCCGACACGCCTAACTCCCTCATTGAGCGAGGTCACGATGAAGAAGCCCGCACCATGCTCAAAAGAATTCGCGGCACTGACTACATCCATGCAGAGTTCGAAGACATTAAAGCCGCAAGCGAGGAATCGAAGACCGTGAAGCATCCATGGCGCAACATCATCCAGCGCCGCTACCGTCCACAGCTCGTCATGTCCGTTTTCATCCCCTTCTTCCAACAGCTCACTGGGATCAACGTCATTATGTTCTACGCCCCCGTTCTCTTCAAAACCATCGGCTTTGGAAACGACGCCTCGCTTATATCCGCCGTCATCACTGGTCTCGTCAACCTGTTTTCCACTCTTGTCTCCATTGTCACCGTCGACCGCCTTGGCAGACGCAAGCTCTTTCTCCAGGGTGGAGTGCAGATGATTGTTTGTCAAATAGTGGTCGGTACGCTTATTGGTGTTAAGTTTGGGACATCAGGCCAGGGCTCGCTGTCGGGTACTTACGCGTCTTTTGTGGTGGCTTTTATCTGTATCTACGTCGCCGGGTTCGCGTGGTCGTGGGGGCCGCTCGGCTGGCTCGTTCCGTCGGAGATTTTCCCGTTGGAGATCCGGTCGGCGGGGCAGAGCATCAATGTTTCAGTAAACATGCTATTCACTTTTATTATCGCGCAGGCCTTCCTTGCTCTTCTTTGCAGGCTCAAGTTTGGCCTTTTCTACTTCTTCGGTGGCTGGGTGTTGGTTATGACAACCTTCATCGCACTTTTTCTCCCGGAGACGAAGGGAGTTCCCATTGAGGAGATGGTGCTCGTATGGAGGGGACACTGGTTCTGGAGTCGGTTTTTTGACGAGGAAGACGGAGGCGACGCTAGTTCATTAGCTGGTGTCGAGATGGCCAAGCCGAGCGTATAGAGCATGATCGCGCTGCTTATGTTCTTGATCCTTTTTTAATTATGAGACTAAGATAGTTAATCGCTATTAAAACTACTGTTATTTTGTCGATTAATGCGTTTTCTTTTACCTGCACTCCATAAATTTTTTGGTTAAGTGGGCGAGACCTATATATAAATATGACATGATTAGTTCGATTTGATATTGTGACTTTTATTTTTGTTGGGACCTTATTGAGCGTGTGCACTGTAATGCTTGAATTTACCCTTATTTTGTGATGAGCTTTCATTGGAATTAATGAGACTTTTTATTAATTAAATGATGCAGAGATCATGATCTGTGAATGTTTGATTATGCTTATCTTTCTTGATATTTAAAGATAATGCATCTTGCAATGGAGGCCTTTCTCTTACCCACCTGATCAGCCAATGGATATAGAACTCTTTGAAAAATTTTCTTAAGAAAATATTCATCATCATTCTTTATATTTTGGTATTTATATTTGTTGAAAGATAGAAATTGAATATTAGCGTCAATTGTGAAATTGATTGGTGGCAAGGGTGGATCTAGCCTTAATTTTCAGGCCGGACAAACTTATAAGTAAAAGTATAGAGTTTCTTTTTTCCATAAATATCATTAAAATCAAAATTTATTTTGAGGGCGCTACATCTAGACCCATATTTGTTCATCGTTGTACGCTTTACAAATATGTCGGGTGTCCAAGGGGGCAGAGCCCCCTGGCGGGGTTCAACTTAACAAATTTTGATTGTAAGGATTTTTGTGGATTATATTTACTATTTCTCTTTGTATTTGGTTCATCGTTCCCTAACAATAACATCTCACACAATGTGTTTAATTATGTTAGGTCAACTGCCAAAAAACTTTTATAAAAAAGACTAAAATACATGGAGGGGAAAAAATGGAAAAAAATTACCTAAAGAATAATTTTTTCGCGTGGGGTTAAGGTGGGTCTACCCATGAATGGCGGTCTTTAGTTGCTGGAAGTTAGGCAATGCTAAAATTGATGATTCGATCTTGTTCATCTTCAATCTCATGGTTCAAGCCTTCAAGGCCTAACCATGTTCAAAATCAAGTGTCCTAATAGATAATAGCATTATCTTAATTACACAATTATTAGAAGAGAGTCTGAAAATCTTGTAAATGGTGTTGTTTGAAGTTGAAAAATTAATTATCGAGATATTTGTGCTTGATTGAATTCATCTTATGAATCATAATATTTGTCAAGATGCAAGTTAAAAAAAAAAAGTTTCAATGCAAGAAATGTCCTAAACTTGTATAATGCTAATATATCTAGTTTGTGTGTGTGTGTGTTGGGGGGTGGGGGTGGGGGGGGGGGGGGGGGGGGGGGGGGGGTGCTTATGGATGATCAAGTCATTAATAAGAATATACATTTTGTATATCTTATGTCTATTATCCAAATTGATGCTATAATAGTTGGGAATACTAACAATAAAATTCAATTTGGTTGGTTGAAGTGGAGGAATGCATCAGGCCTGTTGTGTGACAAAAAGGTAACTCTCATGGTGAGACTTGCGATTATTACGCAAAATGTTGGCCTTTAAAAGAGAAGAATAAAATCAATTCAAACATTCCAAAGAATGCTTAAGTGGATGAGTGGCTTTATTCTAATTAGAGACAATGCAAAACGAGTATATACGTGAAAATGTTGTAGTAGCTCCAGTGGAAAATTAGATTAGAGAGAATCGCCTTAGATGATTTGGACATATAGTTTGTCAGCTTTCCAATAACCCGACTAGACAGGTCATGATGGAGAAAAAAGATTTGTGTAGCCGATCCTACATGGAAAAATAAATGCTTGATAATGTTGTTTATTTTATTTTTGATAATGAAAATAATTTCCTTCCGCATAAAATGAAAATGATAATCGAGCACTCAAGCCTAAATGATACCAGTTTTAGTCACTTAATGGCATGGGAACATGACCATATTATATTGTATGCTAAATTGCATGGAAATTAAAAAAAAAAAAAAAAAAAAAAAAAAAAAAAAAAAAACCCTTGCAAAATGACATCAAATCTTGCTCCTCTTTTCAAAATAGTTTTGCATAATGCGTTTAGTTACAAATAAATAAATTAGCTCATATTATAAGTGCTAAAAATTGAGAAAAACTATATGAGAACCTCCTGACATTTAAATTTGTAATGATAAATAATTTAAAAGAACAATGATTATAATTTGAAAGAAAAGTATCAATATAATGATAAATAATAATATTAATAATTATAAATTAAAATAAAACTAGTGCTTATCTTATTAGTTGATAATTGAGATATATAATGCATGGAAGCTTCATAATAATGATGAATGTTATGTTTATGTCAGACACATGAAGGACATAAGTGATTGCCAGACACATCAAACATGTCATGTATATATTTTTTTTTAACAAAAAAGAAACTTTTATTAAAAACTAATAAGAAGATGATACAACAGTTGAAGAAAGGAAAGCAGACCATTAAAAAGGTACAGACACAATAAAACAGAAAAATAAAATCCCAAAAGAGGGCTCAGTAGACAGCCGAGACTCCCAGCATCCTCGAAAGCGTAAGAACCATCCAGAAAGGGTGAGAATCACCAACGGTTGCCACAAGATTGCCAACGAGGACAAGAGTCCCAGCAACATCATAGCCCCGCAATCTCCAAACCAAGCAAAGAGCAATCCGCAAAAAAAACAAACCAAGTTAAAAGCGAATTATCTTCTTCTACCTCCTCTATTCCAAAATTTCCCACGAGAAACTGACTTAAGAGGTAAATCACGAACCACTTTAATCTCATTACCAAGATCTGAATATGACTCAGAATTAGATTCATATTCAGACGAGTCATGTATATATGCATCCAAATATCCAATTAAAAAAAATTATTAGACACTTGACACACATGTCATGAATAATAAAAGTTAATCATAAAGACATATTACATAAATAATTTAATATAAGTAACCTATTCTCTTCAATTTAAAATATATTATTTGAAAATTTTAATATATATTATGCTAATTTTATTTTGCTTATCCTGCTAAATTTTTAAATAATTTTTCAAATAATGTTTAATTTTCATCAACAAAACATTTTATTAAACTTCAAATCAGATATCTACAATATTATGAAACCATTTCTTCTTAAATTGAATTTAATATATTTAATAATTTAATTATTATTATTTTTATTTTATAAGAAATTGAACTAAATTTATCATTATATAAATTTATAGATATTTATATCTCGCATCTGTGCATCCTAAATTGATTTTTTTTTTCATTCTAAATCTATAGAAATTACATAGGCATATTCTTTGGCTTGGAGGATTCCTTTCACGAAGAAGGAAATTTGCAGATTGGACTGGGGCTTCCACACGAATATTTTTGGTGTGATTAATAGTAAGAAAAATACTCAGCGTATTTTCATTCAGGATTATGTGAATTAACACCAGTAATAAATGAGAACTTATTGTAAAGAGGTTAAAGATATAGCGAAATATTTATTTTCCATCTCTGCATTTTCAAATGCTTTGAATCTTTATCTGTATACTGATATTATTTTAGAGGTTACAATTCTATAAATTTCTCTTAATTCTTAAACTAGAAGAAATAAAGATAAGAAAGCTTACTCTTTTGAACCATGAAGAAGATAATCATGAACAAGTATGTGGAGAAGCTGCCACAATATCTGCAGAAATATTCAGAAAATCCTTCAGGACCTGCTTCAAAAGAGCTGAATTATGAATTGTTTCACGCCGTGAAGAACAAAAATACTTTCTCCGTTGAGAAGGCCCACTTTTTAAAAGAGGATGACTCACATAGTGTAGTGGTAAGTTTGGACAAAGAGGGAGGAGCGAACTTGAGTTTGATAATAGATGATGAGAAGGTTTTCGAGGTGGATACGAAGGGGCGACTTGAAGGGACAGAGAGGCTCAGAATTGATGGGTTATTGGTTGATTTTATGTGGGATCTCTTTAAGACTCCAAAGAGATTTTTATTCCTTACAAGGGAGTTTTCATTCCATACAAAGGCTTTTGGCGAGCTTGGTTATCAAAATGATTGGGAGGACTGTGAACATGTTAATGCGTTGGAGATCTTGGCAGATTTCTAGTAGCTTTTTGATATATAAGTTTATTTAGTAATGAAATATTGAATAAATATTTACTAAGGTTCTGTGATAATTTTTATTTTTAAAGTGTAAGTCAAATGATTATAATAGAAGGATATTCTATCATAAATAAATAAATAAAAAATCAAAATTTTTCTTAGCCTTTTTTTTTGGCCAAATTAAGTCGAGTATGAGGTATATAATATCAATTTTTCATTAGAATAACTAAGTTTATATAGTGAAAGGCATATCATTTAAGCTGGTTATTCAATTAATAAAAGAAAAAAAAAAGTAAGATAGTTTTATATATTTGTAAGTATTACTTTATAAATAAATAATACTAAATTAATCTGCTCATAGACTTCAAAAAAACATTGAGATGGAAACTCAAAAGGATATAATACTTTTCTTTACTTTCTCTTTACATCCTTAGAACTTTTATATAAGTGTTCTATCAAGATGCACACTTGCAACTTGTTAAAAAGGCTTCAATAGCAAAAAGTTTAATTCTGCACCAATATAATAGAAAAGCAAACTATCATACTAGGAAGCAAAAATAAACAATAAATGACAGAAAAGGCTAAAGTGTTCTCTTATGGGATAAAATGCATAAAGATGCTCCGCATCAAATATTTATGTATGTATATAGGATCAAAATGTCTCTCGGAGATACCAAACTTTACATGTAGGCCGAACCTATGAGCGGGCAAGCTTGACCTGTGAGAATGGAGAGAATTGAGTAGTGGAAACTTTTGTAGAATACTCAAGAAAGCTGTACATATCAAACTGGTGGATTATCCTTTAAAATCACTCAATATAGTCCTCTCATAAATTTTTCCTTGTCACCCATGACTTACAAGATTTTGGGGCTATAGAAAAGACTACATATAG